CTTGACAGTGGCATTCCTGTTTGAGGTGCAGTGACGTTTAAGGGCCCGGAGATCACGAGCATCCAGTAGAGTTTTACGGCCTTGACCCTTACGCATAGCAATTGTTCCAGATTCTCTGAATCTTTTGATGATGTTATGCACGGTTGATGATGATAACTGAAAAGTCTTTGCTATTTTATGCTGGGTAACACTATTCTGGTATTGCTGCACTATCTTTCTGCGCAACAATGGTGGAATTGGTGATCCTCTTACATCTTGGCTTCTGAGAGACACTGACACTCTGAGAAGCTCTTTTTATACCCAATCATGTTGTCAATTGACCTAATTAGTGTTAATTGGTCTTCCAGCTGTTCGTTATATGCTCAATTTCCTTTTTCCAGCCACTTATTGCCACTTGCCCCAACTTTTTGGGGATTTGTTGACAATGTGAAATTTTGAATCAACATATTTTTCCTTTAAAATGTTACATTTACTCAGATTAAACTTTTGATCTGTCATCTATGTTATATTATGAATAAAATATTGACATTTGCCATCTCCACATCATTGCATTCAGTTTTTATTCACAATTTGTTTAGTGTCCCAACTTTTTTGGAATCTGGTTTGTATATGATAGGCTCAAGGCCCACAGTTTAAACAATTTCAAGTATTTATTTATTTTTACATAATTTGAGCTTCCAGCTCATGAAACCCACAAAAACAGGATTTCAAAAAATTAGAATACTGTGGAGAAATCAGCCCAAATGTTGCAGGGCATGAATGTTTTAAACTGAGTGTGACACACTAATCATCTACTAAACTCAAAGGACCTGCACAGGTTTCCCCAGGTGTCATTAAATTGCTTCAGTTTGGTTCAATTGTCTCAGTTCAGTTCAATGTGAGAAAGACTGCAGACATAACAACTGGCCAGAGGACCATCATTGATACCCTCCATAGGATGGGTAAACCACAAAAGTTCATAGGTAAGGAGGCCGGCTGTTCACAGAATGCTGTGTCCAAGCATACCAATGGAAAGTCTAGTGGAAGGGCAAAATGTGGCTGGAGAAGATGCACCAGTAAAAGAGATGACCGTGGGCTTCAGTGGATTAGCAAATAGAGAAGATTCTAGAATCTGGCAGAGATCCAGAAAGAGTGGAATGAGGCGGGAGTCACAGCTTCAAAAACCACCACATTCAAACACATCCAGGAGATGGGCTACAACTGCTGGGTTTCTTGGTCCTCTTTTCCGATGAAAGTAAAGTGTGCTTTTCATTCGGAAATTAAGGTCCAAGGGTTTGGAGGAAGGGGTGAGGAACAGAGCCCATACTGCTTGAGGTCCAGTGTGAAATATCAACAGTCAGTCATGATTTGGGGTGCAATATGTCCGGTGCAGGTGTTGGTAAACTCTTGCTTTCTTAAATCTAAGGTCACTGCAACAGTCTACCAGAATGTTTTAGAGGACTTTGTGATTCCTTCTGCTGAGGATCTGTATGGAGATGCAGATTTCATCTTCCAGCAGGACCTGGCCCCTGCTCATGCCGCCAGAAGCACCAAAACCTGGTTTGATGCCCATGCCACAGTGCTTGACTGGCCAGCCAACTCGCCGGACCTAAAACCCACTGAGAATCTATGGGGTATTCTCAAGAGGAAAACGAGGGGCACCAGACCCAACATTAAAGAAGAGCTGACAGCATCAAGGAAATCTGGGCTTCCATAACTCCCAGGCGATGCCACAGATGCCACGTCACATTGAGGCAGTGATTAAGGCAAAGGGATTCTCAACCAAGTATTGAAGATAGACATATCGTTTTGAAAGTACCATATTTTGACTGATTTGTTGTGATTCTTATTTCTTTCTTTTTTCTGCAAAAACTGATTCTAATTTTTTGAAATCCCGTTTTTATGGGTTTCATGAGCTGGAGGCCCAAATTATGTAAAAATAAATAAATAAAAACTTGAAATTGTTTAAATTGTGGGTCCTGAATCTATCATCTATTAAAAATTAACGTTTTGAATGGAATTATGAAGTTAAATTTTCCATGATATTCTAATTTTTTGGAAAGGGTTTGTGTGTGTGTGTGTATTATGAAGTGGGGCAGATTTTGGCCCGCGGGCCACCAACTGAATAGCCCTAATCTAGAAGCTGAAGGTGAAACTGGACCAATTACTCTCAGCTGGTTCCAATACAAGTTTTAAGCCCAGCAAACATTTCCTTTACTAAAAATACATAAAAAAAAAAACCTTGCGGCTCTTAACAATTTTATAGTTATAACCTCCCTGCTGTTTGTTCAAATATTCATTTCTCTAACATGATTTTCTCTAAAATTGGTGGCTGTGGCTGAGTGGTTAGAGCAGTCGTCCTCCAATGTCAGAGTTGGGGGTTCAATTCCACCAGCAGTCACATGCCGAAGTGTCCCTGGGCAAGACGCTGAACCCATCATAGCCTCCGATGTGTGTCCCATCAGTGTATGAATGTGATAAAACACTGATTATTTTTTGTACAGATACAGTAGAGTGCTGTATGAATGGGTAATGAGGACACAGATTGTGTTGTAAAGCGCTTTGAGTGTCTTGATAAGACAAAAAGGCGCTATCTAATCTAAGTACAGTCCATTAAATTATTGCATTATTACAGAAAGATCATGTGACACCATTGGGGGGAAGTGGGCGGGGCTTAAAGCCCTACATTTCTAGTAGACAGAATGTAGTTTAAAAAATACAACATTTAGATTTAACTTAATTTTACTTTATTTGCCTCCTATTAAAAAATATGCTGAAAAACACTAAAAATGTTTTCTTTTTTCAGCTGCTCCCTTTCTCAGGGGTCGCAAGAGCAAACTAACAGGCATGAAGACTTGGCAATTGTTTTTATGCTGGATGAGCTGCTATCTGAGGCACCTGGGGGAGGGGGGGGGGACACGTAGATGGAGGGGGATGGGGACCTTGCTCACGGGGCCATGGGTGGGGCAAGCAAGAGTGGAGGAGGTTTGGGTGCTTCACTTTTCCCACCCACATTTTGATGTTGTCAGTCCGTGGGATCGAACTGGTGACTTTCCAGTTTCACACACAGACTAACCTTCTTCAGCCTCTGTGTCACCACTCCCCCACACAAAAACAATAAATAAAAAACATAACTACAAAGCAGAACACAAAATAAAAGCATAATCATGCAAACATTGTAAACAATAAAAACATGAGACAGCTTTGCCTTACAGACCTCATAAACAGCTGGATTTAGAGAGGATGAAGGAGGTTAGGGTTGACTGTCCTGACACGAAGGAACCATAGAGAAACCCTGTACCTACACCCTGACACAGTGGAACCATAGACAAAACCTGTATCTCCACCCTGATACAGAATAAACTAAGAAAAACCTTGTACCTCAACCCTGACACAGTGGAACCATAAAGAAACCCTGGACCACCACCCTGACACTGAAGAACCATAGAGAAACCTTATAGCTTGACCCTGACAAGGAGGAACTATAAAAAAACCTGCACCTCCACCCTGACACAGAGGAGCCATTGAGATCCCTGTACCTCCCCCCTGACATGGATAAACCATAGTGTACTTCCACCCTAACACAGAGGAACCATAGACAAACCCTGTACTGTACCTCCACCCTGACATGGATGACTTGTGTACTGACAACTTGACACGGGAACTATAGAGAAACCCTGTACCTCAACCCTGACACTGAGGACCCATG